GGACACCTTTGCTGTAATGGCTTTCAGGTATTGCTGAAAGTTCAGCCCCTCGTCAATGATGACGCCAAGGTACTTCGCGCTGGTGACTGTCGGCAGAGCTTGGCTGCGACAGAGGACTGTGACCCGGGGTCCAGCGTCTCTACCAGGAAAGACTGTGAGAACTTGACTCTTCTTCTCATTCAGAATCAGTCCTCGCTCTTCCAGCCATGCAGCCAAGGAGGAGACTGCGGTGGAGAGCGTACTGGCAACAGCCTGAGTCGTGTCAGCGCTACAATATACTGCGACGTCATCGGCGAACTGGATCGTGGCTGCGGATTGGGCTACTTGAGGAACATCTCTTGTGTACACGTTAAAGAGCAACGGGCCGAGCACTGATCCCTGGGGCACACCGCAGCTGCAAGAGGTGATTGTGCTGCTGCTGGCCCCGAAACAAACTCGCTGTGTCCGCTCACTGAGGTAGCTGATGAGCCAGCGAAGGGGTCTGCCTGTCACTCCTAAATTTATTTATTAACGGGGGACGACCTGTAGCATGTTACAAGGCGGAGGGCCGGAGCCCGGAGGACCACCGTGCTCGGAAACAGTGACCTTACTACATGTACAACGATCCACGGTTGTCAGAGCCTCGGTCTTGCGACCATTTGAACAGTATGTGTGGTAGCCCTGGTTCTGACCCTCATTATACTAGGGAGTTGTTTTTCTGGTCTGTAACACAGTCCTTCACAGTGCAGTACGTCTCCTGCCTTGATGCTGTGTGGAATACTCCCTGTCCTTTTTTTATAGGAAAGAAAAGGGCCAAGGAACTTCAAGCTACGCTATAATGTCCACTAACACCACCAGTTACTAAAGCTCATGCGATAACATAATACACGGCACTGACCGATGGTACTGACGTTCTACAAGTCAACTACATAACTAACTGGCTATTAGCTCTAGCGCATCGTGGATGTGCACTCCAACAGCCTTTCAACTAGTGGAAGGTTCTAAGTAACACGTTAGTTATGATAACATAGGAGGGGAAGGTGAGCGCAACCAAGACAAGCACGAGCTGAAAGTCTAAGCTGTGAAGGACGTATAACCGTTGGCGGATGTACATGTGCCGGTACATGCATGTCGATGACGATACTGGCCGCAAGACCATTGGACAATGTTTATTCATTATTCACTGTAACTTAGAAACTTCCAAGTTGGAAGGCTGTTGGCGTGTTGGAGTGCGCATCCAAGATGTGCTAGAGCTGATAGCCAGTTAGTTGTAGAACATCAGTGCCGTCGGTCAGTGTCGTGCAATGTTATAACATGAGCTGATTGTTTAGTATAGTTGTTATAGTTATGCTCAGAGTCTCTCGTGAAGCTGCGCTAAACAGACGCCGAGAGCATACTGTCGGTGTGATGGTTAAGCTAATAATACATGTAGTAATAATGAAGTGTGGTGATACCAGGTACTGTACATACTTGCCAATCATACCGGTTTTCCCAGTATACTACTGGAAAACTAGGGTTACTACCGGTAGGTCTTGGCGGATATGCCGGCAGAAAAATTTGCAGAATTCGGTACTTTTTCTGGTAAGTTTCATGCATGTTTGGTGTGTGGATAAAGAAATGGAGCAGAATTCGAGGAATTGCCCGCCATACGGTTTGTATAGTTCTGCCAATTTCACTGCTTTTCGAGCAGAATCTGCCACCTTTTCGAGCATTATCCGCATACCGGGGATCTTTGACTTTGATCAAAAAACTACCGTTATTGGCACTGAAAAGGTTGTTTTGTGGTGTGACAGCATTTTTCACTAGTGGTTGTGAAGTTTTCATTGTAGTGATAGGACAGGCACAGTCACAATGGGACGATCGGATCAAGTCGACAACGACAAGGAATCTCAGAGGTTCGGTATAGGATAAGGTAAGGCAAGCAAGACAAAGACCAGGCAAGGCAAGCAAGACAAGGCTAGGCAAGAAGGGGAAGATAAAGGGCCTGGGTAGCTATGGCAAATATGGGCGCGCAAGTAGCTACCCAGGCCAACGGAACAAAAGGAGACAAAAGGTGAGTACGTAAGTGCATGCAGGCCAGCTAGAAAAGGTACGGGAGGAGGTACCTAACATACCACCCCTCCATGAAAAAAATCCCGCGTCCTCGCGGAGAGAAAAAAAAGAGAGAAAAAGATTTAAAAAAAATGAACTGGAGGAGAAAACACACACACACACACACATACTGCACGCGCGCACGGATCTCACGAAAGTGTTTACTAAAAATGCACTACAGGTCATTCCTGTACTACTTATTGTGTGTAATAACTATTGGAGTTTGACGAGGAACGTGAATTACTAGTATTTTGCACGGCTAATACAGCCTAGTTACACTTTTGCTAAACATCCAAAAAATTAGAGCGTGGCTCACCATGATCGGACCCCTAACTTGGTAATGTTTTACGAACACACGCGCGCGCACACACTACAAAAAATTCAGGAAAATAAATTTGACGAAGAAGCATACAAAAAAAGAAAGAGAGAAAGATAGCTGACCTGCATGGCTTGAACGAGAATAGACGAAGTAAGGTTGGCGTAGGAGAGACGAGGTTGATAGAGACGAGGCGAGGTTGATAGAGACGAGACGAGGTTGGCGTAGGAGAGACGAGACTGACATGGACGAGACGAGGTTGACAATTTGACATAGACAAGACGAATGGCGGTTGAGGACGGCTGGGCATGGGATGATCTCAGGGTCGTGAGTCGATCAATAATCGGGCGCCAATGTTGAGTTCGAAACAGGACGACTGACAACGGGAACAAGTTAGTGGGAACGACATTTATTATAGACGACGAGACAAGAGACCAAGACGAACGAAACGACTACATGGTGATTATTGACGAGTGAGAAAAGAGAAAGAGAGAGAGAGATCAAGTCTAAACGGCAAGATAAAGGGCCCGGGTAGCTATTACTACTTAGGCTTTTCCACATTATTCGAAAAAATATTGGAAAGATGTGGATGTGAAACTCGATTTTTGGGGGGGGGGGGTCTTTTTCTTCACAAGTGTAGCATTCTATCAGTCATTACGTATGAAAAAAAAAAAATTTTTTTGGGGAATGATGTTATTCTCAAAAATGGATAGATTTGAAAAAAATCTAAAAAAATTCAAAAAATCACCCAATGTGCGAAAATTATTCACCCGTTGCCATGGCAACAAGATGGCTGCCAAATTCATTCGAAGCAGGGAGTCGTAAAATACCGGTATTTTACGACTCCCTGGTTCGAAGCATGTACATGTTGGCATCACAGGGAACCCTACAGGACTGGACATGTACTCGTGCATGCATGCACATCATCATGCACTGCCGCCTGCCGGCCCCATGGCCCAGTGCCGGGAATATTTCGAGACTGACAAGAGTCAGGTTACGTCAGGTGCGGGGCAAGGTCAAGTTTTGCCAGCAGAAGAAAATGCCTGTCGGCTAAAGTTTAGCTAGCACTTGCAAAATTTGTTGTTTTTGAGGAAAATCTGGCAAAAATCACGCCAAATTTGTTATTTTTGAAGAAAATCTGTAGTATCCCTGCTTTACAGTTTACACATGACTAGTAGTACATGTATTTTGCATGACTCTTATTGTTTAGAAGCATACAGTACTTCCTACATTTACGATTGTTCTTCCATGATCCTTGCATGGCGCCACTACACACTGGAGAGTAGCTAGACCAACACTAATTATCAGTAGTCTTCATTGTTTCCAAAATACAATACTTGTGCCGCTATGCTTCATTTGCAAGAGGTCCTTGTGCAGTTGTATGGACTTATCTGCACTGCGATATCAGCCTCATGCTCCAATGCTTCCTTTGTAGCACTGAGGCGCTGCGAGTAATCAATGGCATTTCCAGGTTGCTTGCTACACTATCGCATACATTCTTTAGCTGTTTTGCTGCCTGCTGCTTGTTTCCCGCAATAGACCCCAGCTGAAGCTTCCTAGCTGGCCCCCCTTGCCAACAGCCTTGTTAGATTCTGTATAAGTTCTCTAGTTTGCATCTCATACGAGAGAGTCGTGGTTGAGAGAGAACAAGTTCACTTTCACTTTGATATAAGATCATTCACAGTAACCTCCAGGCCGTGCCGGAGTAAGTTCAGATACGTTGGTTGACTGACTGTGGGTAGTAGCCTCCTAGCCTTAGATCACGCACGTTACAAATCTGACAAAAACCACACAAACTTTTTTTGTTTTTGAAGAAAATCTGGTAAAAATCACGAAAGATGCATTTTTACAACGGGGATTCATTTTTACCCCCAAGATGCAAAAATTATGCAAAACATAATGTGGAAAAGCCTAGTAGCTATGGCAAATATGGGCGCGCAAGTAGCTACCCAGGCCAACGGAGCAAAAGGAGACAAAAGGTGAGTACGTAAGTGCATGCAGGCCAGCTAGAAAAGGTACGGGAGGAGGTACCTAACAGTAGGATGAAAACCAGAAAAATAAGGGAAATGGGAGAAAAATCTAAGAAAATTAAGGGAAACTGGGTGTGTGACTAACGCCAGCAAGGGATTTGCTTTGGCTGGGTTGGCAGGTATGGGTACATGTGGAGGAAATGGAATGCGCGAAATGTGAAGAATTTGTAAACAAGCCGCAGCGAGGCACAGTGGATGCAAGTAAAAGTTAGCCGGGCATACGGCTACACAGTTGCACAAGTACAGGTACCTACTGTACCCAGTGAGACTGAGAAGACCAGTGGAGGCACGAATCAACAAATGTAAGTCTGGTGCAGCTCCAACTCCCTCAAAACTCCAAGAAGGTAAGGCTGGCCAGTGCTTAAACATGACGTCATTCATAGTCTTGATGCTAGAGTACAATTATGTAGTAGATACTAGGTGACAAAGAAGACAGCAGAAGCAACACAAACAACAGTGCAATGAAAAGTAACAACAGCCTCCACCAGGGCCGCTGACCAGGGAATGCAGATTGGACCATGCCTGGGAATCGTCCACATGCAAACACAACGCATGCCTGCCTCGTCCACCTGTGAGGCTAGTACCTGTGACTCATCACAGAGTGCGTCATTTGTTTTCGCTGACCGCCAAGTGACTAACGCCAGCGTTAGGCAGCGGCGAGACTATCTTCCTGCTGTTCGTCATGGAACACTGACGACATGGCCTTGTCACCAAGTAGGCGGTCTTTGATGACCTCTTTCCACTTCTTCCACGGCGTATCTCGAGGAATTTCCTCGGTGTATACCTGGTATACAGCATTCCGAAAACCATCCATTATGTCGACACGCTTAGCTTTCAGAGCTTTGTCTTTGGCCGCTTCCAATATCCAAGACACTAGACACTCTCGTAGTGAGGTGGTGCCCTTTGTATACACCTTGGCGGGTACTCCAGCATCACTGCGCTCCACCGTGTCCCAATTTTTGCCCGCGACGACGGACAGGGAAACTGGCCTCACAAAGTGGACGTTTACAAAGTTTTTCTCTCCAGGGTAATTGTATACGTTAGCTCTGTAGCACTTGGTATTAGTACGAGGTGGTCCAGTGCCATCGACGACAGGAAAGAGGCTTTCATTGTCGCTGATTTTATAGTCGTTCTCGGCGGTTAGTTCCTTGTATTTGATTCGAAGCAGCACTAACAGAACCCGCTCGTGGAGATACATGTCAGCCTCACTTTTGGGTAAGCAAAGTACTTGTCGCTGACCGCCGGGAGGTTCGCTGTCTTCGCTGTCTTTGCTGTCTTCGCTGCGTTTGCTGTCATACTTTGTGAGCAGGAACAAATGATAGGATTCCAGGTGAAACGGAACGTGGACACGGTGGTGATATACCCCACTCTTCGCTTTGCAAGGGTAGGGCGATGTTGTAGGCAAGGCGTCTTTAGTATCGTAACACGTTGTGGTCATGCACACCACGGGAAGTCCTGCCAGGTCGCCATCAAAGTTCATGCAATTCGGAAAGCACAGGCGCAGTTCAGGCCAGGTGGGTGGGGTTCCGTCACTGTTCTGACTAAGCTGATTCGTGACATGATACATTCGGATAGGGACCTGAGCTGGCCCAGCCGGCGAGGCCATTTTGCTAGAGTTCGGAATAATCGGCTACAATCCGGGCTGAGGCGAGGTGTACCGGTAGTTTCGAGTCGGAAAGTGCACCACCGGTATGATGATAGAATTGAAACTGACTACAGAATTACGTGCAGCCGGTCTCTCTCTCTCTCTCTCTCTCTCTCTCTCTCTCTCTCCTTCAAGTACCGTAGATTCAGCGCTACTTCAGTTGTAGTACTTGTAACTGTTGAGTGATAAACTAACTTTCTGATGTAGCATTGCTAAAATGCTAGTATATAAAGCAAAGTCGCGCTCAGCGCACAGCCCAGTGTTGGTAAGCGCCATGGCCGTGCAGCCCCGCTCGGCGGGGATCGGGACTGGAAAGTGGATCATGGAATGTGATTTCTCATCAGAGCCCGCTCATACATGTCGTGTTCATGTAGCTACAGGATCGGTGACGCCTCTAGAGCTCTGTGAACCGAGCTATCCGCCTACTGTAGCACCGGAATATCCGGAATGTGCATGCACAGCAGATGCGATCACGTGCTAGTCGAGCCATGCATCACTCCCAGGGAGCTGTAAAAACCTGTTTTTACAACTCCCTGGTTACTTCTCCCAGTCGCGGTGGCATAGACGCGGAGTCTGACGGACTGTTCCCTACTGCCATGTCTGTAGTCACGCGTGTGACGCTTGTGGGGCCACGCGACAAGGTTCTCGTGACATCCACCTTGAATGTAATGTGACACTTTGGCATAAATGGCATAATGTGGTGCCATCTGGCTAGACTAGCTGCGTAGTCGAGCAGAGGCAAAACATGCGGATAGCAATGGTAGAAAAGGATTTATGAGGAAGGTGGGGATAGCGGTAAGTGAGTGCTCCAAGAGTGAAGGTAGTGAAGCTTTTTTTTCTCTCTCTCTCTCTCCTTTCTTCCCGGTTGCCGTGCTTGTGACATTTTTTCCCCTGCTGCCGTGCTCATATTAGTTATCTAACTTATCTTCTTCTTTGTTCTGTTTGTCCGCTTATTTTTATATATTTTTCTCTTCTCTTATTATCAGTGGGACCATTGTCATTAGGTTTAGGCCTGTTTTGGAACTCCACTCTGAAGAAAGCCAAACAAACAAACAATATCCGGAATATGCTCAGCAGATGCGATCACGAGCTACAGCTGCCATGCGTGCGCGTCACTCCCAGGGAGTTGTAAAAACATGTTGTTGTTGTTGTTGTAGAAGTTTATTTATCGTCGCACCACAAACAGGCGATTTCGCCTCCTTTGATACATGTGGACGACAGAAGGAATGAGAGAGAGGGGGGGGGGGGGACAGAAGTATGGAGAGAGGAAGGGTAGAAATAAATAAGCAATCAACCTCAGGGCTACACCAAAGCAAAAACGGAATGGGAACATACTATATACAAAATAGCTTCATACATATATTGCAAAACACGTTTACTATTCTTCAGTCCGCTATACCACAGAAACACACTAGCCGAAAAGCATTTAAACGGAGCCATGATGCGCTTTTAGCAGGGCACAGAACTGAAGGTGGCTGGGCTCGGAACGGAGATCAGGCGGGAGCTGGTTCCACAGGACTGCGCCGATGAACTGCATGGTCGCTCGACCCGCAGGACCGGGCCAAAATGGTACTCGAACGAGGTGATGTGCTGCTCCCCGAGTGCGGTCACCAGTAACTCTCATGAAGAAGCTGGTGAAGAGGGAGCTAGCTCGGGAGAACAGACAACGACGGACAAAGATGAGGAGCTTAATGTTAAACATGTCCTCCAGGGTGGTGAGGCGGAGCTGTTCAAAGATCGGGCTCGTGCGCGACCACGGTGGCAGACCGAAGAAGCCGCGGATAGCGCACTTCGTTAGACGTGTGAGGGGCTCCATGTTGCCAATTTGAAGTGACGGATAAAAGGCGTTGGAAGCGTACGACAACCTACCCTGGATCATCGACCTGTAAAACAGGATCTTTGACGCCAGGGTGAGGCTTCGGCGGCTCCGCCACAGCGCACCTACTGACTTCCGCACCTGCTGGATTGTGTGATTGACGTGAGGCTCCCAGGAGAGCTGCCCATCTACCATTACGCCCAGGTACCGCGCTTGTTCCACAACTGCAAGGGCTGCATTCCCACAGCGAATTCGAATGTTATCTGTGTCAGGGGCTGGGCCTCTTACCAACATGTTTAGTTGCAAAACCGGTTTGGTTGTAAAAACCTGTTGAGTTGTAAAAACCTGTTTTTACAACTCCCTGGTCACTCCCATGGCGGATCGCGCCATCGCGGACTGACGCGGAGGCTGGCGCGGACTGTTACCTACATGTAGTCACGCGACGCGGTTCTCGTGACATCTGTTAAAATCCACCTTGAATGTAATGTGACAGTTCAACATGCCATAATGTGGTGCCATCTGGCTAGACTAGCTCGGTCCGGATCCGGCGTAAGCAAACGATAGTAATGATAGAAAAGGATTTATGAGGAAGGTGGGAATAGTGGTAAGTGAGTGCTCCAAGAGTGAAGCTAGTGCGACGACAAACATCATTAAAATGATCAGGAAAGTGAAGAGTCAATCATCGTGAAGCGCCCCCAGGTGCTTGCTGCTGCTTACCACTTGGCACTACCAGTCCGATGTGGTTCGAATATCCTGGAAATAACGGGGTGACCATGGTGACTTGGTCTGAAGAAGCGCGTCAAATAACCATGGCAATCTGTGCAGGGAGTAGTACATGTAGTGGAGTGGAACCGCCTAAAGCCAAGTAAAGGCTCATACACCCTGAAATGTCCAGACTGTGGCCACACCAGTGTGGGTAGACTTGGAAGTAATCCCACGTGTGGGCCGGACACACCTCAGTACGTGGGTGAGCGCAAGGCGGAGAAAAAAAGGATTGACAGCATCAAGATATTATCTGTCATGGGATCCAATTAATACTTCATCTACGCTTGCCCGTAGTGAAGGTAATACATGACTGTATGGTAGTTCCTTCGTACTTCCAGGTGGAACAATGGACTCAAATATCGACTAGACTCAATGCTATGTATCTAATATTGACTGAGTACGAGGTCAAAATATGAAAAAAAAGCCGAGTAAAGGACCGAGGCGAAGCCGAGGTCTTTTACGATATATAGGAAATAAAAGCCGAGTAAAAGACCGAGGCGAAGCCGAGGTCTTTTACGAGGTCTTTTAATTCCTACATACTGACCAAGTACGAAGTCAATATTAGATTTATCACGACTAACCAAAGCATGTGTTCAATCGCTAAAAAGGAGTCAAATATAAGCGGTCAATATAGCCCTATTAGAGGAGTGAAATATGCAGGAATATTTGACTGCTTAGGTATGGCAAAATTCTATGGGAGTCAATACTAAGGGAGTGATAACGACTGCCTATTGACTGCATATCGACTGATATTGCCTTCAGGCATGAACACAGACTCAGCATGTTTACACATACACTGTACATGTACAGACATGCATATGAATGATCACACTTTCAGCCGTAGCTTCTCTCCGACTCCGCTGATCTCCATACGAAGAACGTTTCTTCTTCTCCGTTTTTTTGGTGCGGACTTTTTTCTTTCTCATTGTCGCTCTTCGAGCATTGCTCAAAGTCATTGTACCACATGTAGTGGGTATTGTTGGTCCGTGGTCCGATCAGCCAGTCAGTCATGCATGCTTCCAGCTCGATCCCAGGCAGAGATGATAATCTTGGTAGTATTACTATTAGAGGTACCTGGCTTGACATTAGAGCCGTGCAAACCCCGCCGAAGAGATCTGATCTATCAGTATCACTGAGTGTTGTGTCATGTGCTTTGACCGCTCATCACTTCATGACAGCTTGCACTTTTCACTCGCTACACGAGGTGTCGTAGTACAATGCAATGTACATGACTTGTACTTGTACCTGCCCCAGGATCCAACTTCATTAATTTTACACCTGCCCCCAGTGAAGGTAATAGTAATACTTGATTCTTATTCACTCTGATTGACTAACTATAAAGTGCACCTACACTAGTTTAAAGAAACCCGGTGTGGGTGGCTGAATCACAGTGAATCTGATATTGGCTTTTAAAACTTTTAAAACAGGTACAATGTATGTACTTCGAAGTATACTTCTAAAAGAAAGCATGCGAACCCTGAAACCAACAAAGGTGACAGGTACAACAATACACCTTCAAGCCACTGAGCCCGTGGGTTATAGATCCAACACTATCTGGCATACGTGAACCTACCAACCGAACGAACGATACTTGTAGCTGGCCAACACACACACACACACACACACACACACACACACACACACACACACACACACACACACACACACACACACACACACACATACGCATGCGCATGTTCGTACACTGAGGCTCTAGCCTTGTCTTTGATAAAGAATCAGCTCGTACCGCTGATAATGGTATTGTGACAAAAACATTTCAAGCTTTATCAGAAATGTACGTACAGCCACTCGAATAGATGCAAGTAGATGAGGACAACTATCCATTTGTTCAACAATGACTAGCATTTTGGATTAAATTTGATTGACAGTTAGGGAAAACTCTAGATGTAAGTTCTAATGTACTCTCAGGGTCTTATGGAACTCATCACATCTCGGTGGCAATAATCATCCTATGAGTATGAGAAATCCTTGCACCATTGGAAAGAAGAATGGCAAGAGCAGGTGAATACAAGTTAACGCTGAGATTCGTGCCAAGTGTGTTAGCAGGAAGTCACGGTCCGCCGATCTAGAGTCAAGTTCCCATGAGGTTGTGGACAAAGGCCGTCCAGCGTCCAGCCACCTACCATTGGGTACAATGTAATCATGCACTGCACATCATCAAGTCCGGTACCAACATGCCGTGTGCCCCTGCCGTCAAGATGCTGAGCACACAGCATGCTGCAGGTAGCACAGTAACAGCACTGAGTGTCTTATCTATGCATAATAAGACTCATCCGACCGCATCACTGACCAGTAACCGAGGTGGAGCGTATCATAGGGAAGTTGACAACCGTTGCTCTCTGGCCAGACAGGGCGGCACGGTACTTGACCCGCAGCGCTGTGAGCTCCTCTTTCTGCTGCTCGATGACCTGCCGCAGCTCAGACACGTCGTCAGGACCGGCAGTGCCGGTGTGGACACGTTGCTGGCCGGCGTTGTCCTGGCGGCCGAGTGGCAAGCTGACAGCGGTGCCGTATCCAGCCACCGGGCTCGCACCCAGCGCCGTCAAACTGGCACTGCTAGAACCAGCAGTCATACCCACTGCCGATGCCGAGGCCGCTACCTGCTGCAAGCGCAACGTGCGCTGAGACTTGGCGGCGACTTCCAAATCGTGCACGCGCGTTCTCGTCGACTTCAAATCCCCTCGCAGCTCGTTGATCTCTTTGATGAGTTGAACATTTTCCTATGCGACAATGCAGAAAAGAGAAGCACATCCATCGAGAGTCACACCAGCACACTTTGTCGTGTTCTTGCTGGCTAAGGATCAGACACGATGCTATTGTGACAAGAAGGAAGTAGGGATGGTTGATTCTGGCGGAAATGATTCTCGGCTGTTTTTTTGTTTACCGCAATCAGTAAGACAAGCTGAATCGATCTTGTGCAATAACATGTTTTTTGTTTGTTTGTCTTTGTTCTAAATATAAACACAGTCCTACTGGGATACATGTGGAGAGCAACATGAAACAAGACAAAGAGGACGTAGGGACAACGTGCCAGCGTGCTGAGAGCAACTGAACCGACAAGAGGTATTGGTGTCAGCCTTGCAATCAGGCATCAAAAAGGGGGAGGGGGGGGGGGGGAGGACCCAGAAGTCCTCCAGAGCATAGTGCGCGTTTAAAAAGCACTATTCCGGGCTCAAAATCGTGGGTGCACTTTACATACTCCGAATATTGAAATGCATGTACAAGGCCCCAGACACTTGTCAAGGGAATTATTTATCAAGCGGGTTGCCGGTGGGTCACCTCTTTGACCCGACAATCACCAAATGCTTCAAGTACTTGTACCCTACATCATTTACTGGTTACGAGAGTCGAGCCTGTACCTGCCAAGTTTCGCCGCAGTCACTTTTGGAAGTCGCACCTAGCTGAAGCATTCCCCAGACTTTTAGACCTTGACTGGCTATAATTTTTGTCAAAAACGGGGCTGCGGCATTATACCCGGGTGCGCATTATGCTCCGACAAACGCGATATTTTGCACCATGCCTCCTGTCCAAATGTCACACTTTGTTCCTAATTCATAATCATCAGCTAGATACATGACAATACAAGCACTAGCAGGGATATCCCCTAAGGGGCTTTAAGCGCACTCGCCTTCCATGTCACTGTAGCAATCGCACAGGGTTAAAAAAATCATACTAACTCAGTATGCTGCAAATATGACATTGGCACATCATGACCTTACTGCCAAGATTCGCGCCTTCTCTTCCCTGTGGATCTTGCGGTCTTTTGACAGTGTCTTATCCAGCGCCTCATTGCTACGCTCCAGGCAATTAATGACGTACGCAGAGTTCTCGGACTCTGACATCATTGACGGTTTCTGGACAACTTCCTCCTATGAAGCAAATGCGCACACAAGCACACACACGCACACACACACACATGCACACACACACACACACACACACACACACACACACACACACACACACACACACACACACACACACACACACACACACACACACACACACACACACACACACACACACACACACATATACACACATCATTGACTCCAACATACGACTTGGTTGACAGCTGGCTACTGCCTAGCAACACGGCACGCGGACCAGTGTGAGCTCTGCCCAGAGTTCAACAAATTCGGTGGTTGAGGTTTGTTTTGGTTTGACTATTGCATGAAGAAAGAGAGATGAAAGTCAATGATTTCCATATTCATTTTATAAACTTTGAAGAGTGGATTCAGACTTGTTTCCATTTTGCGGCAAACGGCATGCCATGCTTCCCCCATTATAAATCACCCTCGAGTGTATCTTTGGGCTGTGGAGTTTTTAGTGTCCCGTATTTTCCAGAATATGAGCCACACTTTAAACACTGGTAATTCACCTAAAAACGTCGGTGTGGCTAAAATACTACCATGGTCAAATTAGCAGTGATATATAGGATAGACGTCCGTGTTTCATGACAAAAAATCTGTGAGCGGCTTATACTCCAGTGTGGCTTAAACTCCGGACAATACGGTAAAAAGGTGGAACTGAGCATAACATTCGGGAGGAATATGTGTAAATGAGGAAGGTTGCAATTACTTTCCTCCCCAGCATTGGCAGGTACACCTCAAGGCTGAGTGTACCTGGGACCGATCAATGATCACAATCTTGAACGTTACAGGATTCGCGCCCGTAACCTTGCCGACTTGCGCACATCCAGCCGGCAGCCAGTAAACTAATCACAGGACTTAGCCACACGCCATACAGTGCGGCCGTGCTTTGCGGCTTGGCTAGGCTTACCGGCTTCTTGTCCTTGGGGAGATATGTTTCTCCCATTGTTATGACGGATTTCTTCAACTCCTTGGGATACTGGATGAGACCCAGGGCATCGCTCAGGTCTTTCTTCAAGTTTTTGATAAGAAGTCCAAGTACGCGGATCTGGGCCAACAAAAACATGCAAGAAACAGTGATTCCGAAGCAGATAGCAACAACAACAACAACAACAACAACAACAACAACAACAACAACAACAACAACAACAACAACATCTCTTATTGGCGATGGTTCCATCGTGAGAATAAAGAATTCAATACAAAAACGCAACAACAATAACACGAGCAACAGAAGCAGCTATGGTACAGCTCAAATTTCATATGCCTCTGGCCTTTTCCCCGGCTCTGACCTTCTCTTGCTGCTGTAGCATTTCACCCTCCTGTGACTCTAGCTTCTGCTTGTAGCCAGTGGCTTCGTGCTTGTACGCATGGTATGCCTTCTCATACGCTGACAGTTCGGCAGTCATCTAAGAGGAAAGCAGCAGAGACAGCATGCCTTATATGGTAAGACAGTACAGGTTCAACTTGGAGCAAGAGAGGTACTGAATGTCAATACAACCTCTCTTGCACCCCTAACTTTTAGAGAGTGTGCATATAGCTTCCAACATCCCAATAGTACGGCATTCTACATGCACTTGTTGACAAGAAGCACCCCAAACCAACGGCAGTCATTGATTCTCACCCGATTGATTTTGCTCTCCTTGCGTGCTATGGTGGCATCACGGGGCTCGATTTGCCGCTTCAGCTCCTTGATCTTGAAGTCAAGGACAAACTTGAACTTCTCCAACTCCTGATTCTTCTTCCGAATGTCAACGATTTGTCTCTCCTGCCAGCCAAGATTCAGAACAAATCAATCACGTAATCAACGGTGTAATCAACGATGTTGTTAAGCAAAGATATTTCACGCAAAGACAGGAGTTGAAGCAATGACAGAAGTACTTTACCCAATGCGACAAAGTTAGTTTCAACGGAATGCGTCAACCACTAGTGGTTATTGCTATGTACAGGTAGTTATAATATTACGACTACCTAGTTCACATGTCTCATATTGCGCATGCGTAATGAAAACCTGGTCTTTCTTCTTGTGAAACTGAAGATTAGTCTGTTGTTTTGAAGATACACCAGTTCTATGAGAAGTGAAGCATTGTCACCCTCTCGACTGACCTTGTCCGAGATTGTCTCCTCCCGCTCCAGCATCTCCTTCTTCAGCCCCTGGATGTCCTTTTCCAACGTCTTGATGACGCCCTGCAACTTACTCCGCTCTCCTTGCAGCTTCTCAATCGTTGCCTTGTGCTCAGTGATTTCCTTGGCAAGCGAGTTCACCTAATCAAAAGAATGGATTTTTTCAACTATTGGCAGGGGCCATGCATGCAACGTGTATACAATCGTCATGTACATGTGTGCGGCGTGTTTATGTACGAAGTGTATGCACGCAATTGTACGACATGTATGCATCTACATGTACGAAGTGTATGCATGTAGATGTACGGAGAGTACCATACCCAATCTCACACTACACACAAGCCTTTTCTAGTGACACACAAATAGCAAGCAAGACATTTGCTATTCGGGGGCAGTGAAGCACGCACATTGATGAGACTGCCTCAGTACCCTAGCAGTCTCCACCACAACCCAACAGGATACGTGTAGCTGGGATCAGCTAACATACAGACAACCAGCAGTGATGCACTGACAGTCCCCATATGAGAGCCATGTTCTTTTCAATCTTTTGTTTGCAGGCGCATAGGCTGTGAGGGGCACAAGGGCATATGCACCCCCCCCCCCCCCCCCTTCGTTAATCTTTTGATCTTTGTTCAGAACAGGCATGTCAGGGATCACAGTTCAGTCCCGACTAGAACTCACCTTCTTCTTCATTACACCTGCCTCTCCAGCCAGTTTGATGTTCTGCTCTTTCGCCTCTCTCATCTTCGTCTCAAACATGTTGGCGTCGTCGAGAATCTCGCGATCGCAGTCCTCCTCAATCTGAGCCTTCATCTCCTCAAAATCTCTTTTCATTTCAGACCTCAGATCCTCCGCCTACAGGACAAGAACACAGGTACAAACTATGGCGGTAAATTATACAAAGGAGATTCAGGGCCGTAGCGACCGGTCCAGCAGGTCCGGTAGTTGCCGGACCAATGTTGGGACAAAAAATCGGTTCAAGCTTGAGAGGTGTCTGTATGTAGCCGGCGTATTCACTATTTTCTGGCTCGAAATTTTCGGTCAGGAGCCATCATGCGTAATTGTAAGCAATGTGATCATCAAAAGAAATTCCTTGCAGATATGAAGTGAGAGCTTACTTTCTCACAAAAAAATGTACCTATGGGTAATCGTAGAATCTACTGGGAAGAAGGTATGACTAAGTAAGTCAGGATTCTTTGAACATGCAGGTAGCGTCGCGATTGCCAGGGCTCAATATACACGTACATGTAGAATGTGCCTGCTCTGCAAAGTACGAAGCATAACGGTGTGTGTGTGGGGGTGGGGGTGGGGGGTGCTAATTGACTCGGGTTGGATATTGCCGGACCAACCGGAATGAGGCTGCCACGGGCCTGGGGTTTCGGCAAAATACTAGCAGCCGAGCATACTCAGCTGTTGAGCTGCCGGGGATAACGTACTGACATGTGCGAATGCCAGTGACATACCTTGAGGAGGCCCGGGGAGGAAGGGAGTGGAGGAAAAGAGGAAAGAAAGGAAGTGGAAGAAAGAGGAGAGGAGAGAGGTGACAGTGGCATGCATACTTACATGTTCCAGCTCGTCGTGCATCTCCTTCAGCTTAGCCTCGTAGTGCAGGCGGATCTCACGCTGCGCTGCCTCGTTCATCTGTGTCAGGTCCTTCATTTTCTTCTCGTGAGTCTGTGACAGCAGCAAACCATCCGGGGTATGGAGGTGCGTACACGAATACGTGTGTGCGCATGCTCGCACATTTGCACGAAATAACGGAGTAAGCATATATAGTTGATCACCTAACCTAGTGCAGTAGTTACTGCTTGTACACAGCACACTATTATTTTTGTTTTGTCAATGATGCTGTCATGCGCCCCCCTCCCCCCAAAAAAACCTGCATATTCCTGCGTGGTCATGAGAGCGATTCATGCCATCATCATAATGATTGTAACATTTATATTCTCGAAGGCATAGTTACGGTTTTAAGTTGTCCATTCGCAAGGAGGAGAAGACAAGGGCAGTGCGAGTATGTGCACTAATACTCACGGTGCACGGTGTACTACGGTATTAATGTGTATATTAAGTACGTGTGATGAAGTAGTAACACATTACTTGTACATCCCTTTCATACCAATACATTTGTCAGCAGGTAAGCCTTGATTATAGGCACAGGGCTGATGTTGCAGAGAAGACAGGCAACATGGAGGTTATGTATCCCCGCCCATCTTGCCTGCCTTCTTAATGACGGGCGACAATGTACCCGGTTAAAACAGCTCCTTTTTGAAAATGTTTTCGATGAGTGATCTGTCGCTTTGTTTTGCTCTAATTGGTGCTTTTCTCCAATGTCATGCAGTCGTATTTATTCAGCTTTTATTTCTTGTGTACTTGCATACTGGTATTAGTTTAGTCCCACAATCTGCGATAAAATGATCCGCTGTAGCACCTACTTCCTCCGCGTCATCGAAATTGTCGCAGTTTGACTAATGACTTGTCACTTGTTACTGACAACTCCATAAGCTAAGCCATTCAAAACTTATTACACAGTATGATAGTCTGAAGACTAGAGTAACGTTCCAGGACAGTTGGACTGAGAGTTTTCATGCAGAAATGAAGTCCTCGTCGTCGCTGATGTCAATGGACGCAAAAATTTCGTTCCGAAATATTTCAAGGAAGGTTGAAAGTTGGTCGCGCCTCATCTCAAACGCTTTGACTTTCTCCACAGGACAAGAGCTGCTATGCTTGTCGTCTGCTAGCTCTGGATGATTTCTACTTCACCACCAACGAAGCCTAGTAAGAATACACGATCGTTGCGAGGTCGGTTGATTACCGTCGACGGAATCACCTCGATCTTGAAATGAACTTTTTTTAGCCGTGGCATGCCCATTTATTTTAGCTGTGTGGTCACAGCTCATGCAGGTAAGTGTACTATCACGTCCATGGATCCAGCGCGCCCTCTTTTTCAGCATCACTGCCCGGCCCTGATTCACTGGTATACCATGGTACGGCACCTGCGCGTGCATCACTAGCACTACGTGTAGAGTCTACACGGCTCTTGCAGGTACAATCATGTACTGAGTGTCTCGGCCAGAGCGACAAATTTTATCGCTGTTGCAGGCGTTTAGTTTGCTGACCCCTCGATGTTTCTCTAAGCGCTGCCACTTGTTCCACGAAGTCATTCTCACCCCAGCTAAGGTAAAACAGTGATGAGGCTTGAGTGAATGGCCATAAGCACGAGAAATGTGCAGGCTGCCACGCCTGACTGATCTCACCGTGTCGAAATTACCATCGCAGCGACATCAGCGAAGAAATTGCGTCTAGTTCAAAAATTCCAGCTTCCAATAACAGAAAATAGAACTTTGCCCTCACCCTATACTGATGACTATCGCCTATGTCCAATTCCTTGCCTCTAGTACGAGTGCTGGTGAGTAAATACCCCGTTTTATGTCAAAAGTCAAACTGCGACAATTTCGATGACGCGGAGGAAGTACTCCACTTTTATGTTTATGTATCTATGTCATTCGGATCTTCCCAAGTTGTACAATGTACTGTTGAGATACCGAATTCAAATAAATCAATACCATACCATACCATGTATCTTCAGTGCGGAATCGGCAAAGCCAGTCAAACACAAACACGTTACCTCTTCAAGCCGCTGGCACTTTGCCTGAAGCTCTTCATATTTCTCGTACTCATCCATCAACTTCATGTTGTTCGATGTCTCTGCAAAGCACAAGGTTGTAAAATAAAGCGAACCGTTAAAAAAAAACATTGTGGGACTCCTCCACAGAAGGAACAAAGCTGCTTTAACTTAAGCACCACGTGTACTGACCAGCGAGTTTGCAATGTTCTTGCATGTCCGCTTCCTGCAATACCATATTGGAAAGAAGGTCTTCTCCTCATTTAGCCAGCCCAGAACACCCTCATCAACATAACTTCAAGAAGGATTCAATGATTTAGTTACGGTAGTAGCTGTGTGCGAAAGAAATTGCGACAGGCTTTGAGCTGACAAGCCGTATGTTCCACGCACTTGACCCAAAGGATGTATTCTTCTGAGGAAAAAACGTTTTTGTTGTAAATGGTAGGTTGGACTATCTCTCAATCACTCTCACTCTCTTGGAGTCATACATTTATGGCACTGTGCCTCTCCTTATTCACCCCATTGTTATTAGATATATTTGTCGGTTTTGGTCAGTGAATCAAAATAAATTCATCGACCACAACAAATCCATCTTGACTCACCCATTTCCAAAAACTCTTGGCCTTTGTTCTCCAGGAACGATAGCTTCTCCTTTTCGTACGCTTTCTGCATCTTTGACTTCTCATTCGTGACGGCCTGGAAAAGAGCCAGCACAGATAATTGCGCCAAGTTTTAGTCTTTTGTCATTGCCTGCCTGGTTGCACTACTAGAAACTGTGTTCACATTGACATAGGTGTAATTTCAGGAACTACTTAAAAGTCTTTGTGTGGGTCTACATCTCTCCACATCATAACACTTGGAGCCAGGGCAGTCATTGTATATGATCCCCCCCCCCCCCCCCCCCACCTTCACACACACACACACACACACACACACACACACACACGCACACACACACACACACACACACCTCCACCACCACCACCACCACCACCACCACCACCACCACCACCACCACCACCACCACCACCACCACACACACACCCCGCCTGGTGAAGGAGAAATCCCACCAGCATGCGACATGAGGCCACTCAGAGGGGACCGTACACACAAAGACTTCCGGAAAGTGGGCCCAAGAGTAGTAATCCAATCTTAAACTGCATTACCACTACCCAGTTGTGTTTGATATCATCACTTGTAAGTCCTTTAGCAGCCATCAGCTCCAGCAAGCACAGCATTGACTGAGATGTGGGTTCTGCCTGCTTACCGTAAGCTGTTTCTGCAGCGACTCCATTTCCTTGTGGAACTTCTCAGTCATCTCCATCAGCACGTCATTGTGAGCCAAGGTCTTCAGACGCAGTTGGTACTCGTTCTCTACCTGTAGCTCGTCCACACGTTGATTGAGATCATGCAGTGCGCTGTCCTGTACAGTGAAAAACAAACAAATACACACACAGACCGTAACACACACGTGCACACATACACACACACACACCGTAAACACACACGCACACACAGACACATACACATGCACACACACAAATGCACATACGTGTATGCACGTGCACGCACACACACACGCACACCATTGGACCATTGGACGCCCATCGCCGGAGGCGATAATAGCGATGCTACAGCAGAAGCCATAGCAGCTTGTGCTGGGATTGCACCATTCAACAGCTTGCAAGGCTGAAGAATTGACCGCCACTATTCAGCCTGGTCTACACCACACAGCTATGAAGTGACTTTTTCTGGCCAGTGAATCCCTACTTTTTGGTCTTTTTTATTTTTTCCCGCACACACATCACACCACATACTCCGGCATGCACTGGCTGTTGGTAACCACCCAGGAGAATGAAAGAAAAGTCAGGAAGAGTCTGAGAAAGAGAAGAAAGACGTGTGTGACCATAATCGTCGGGAATCGAACCCGCAACCTATCGATTGGAAATCGCTGCACATACCACTGCGCCATATGGCACACGCACACACATACACACACACACACATACAGATTCATGTACACGTGGATGCTTGAATAAATACAGCTCACAGAGAGGAGAAGAACGCAAAACAGTTAAAACTTAGAATACGGTTTATAAGAATACAATTCCAGACGCTGATATCCACAAATCCACACACATGAGCAAATCAACGTCAGATCTCTCAAATTGGCGTGTTCCAAAGAGTACTATGATGGCCTAGAATTAATCATTTAAGAAAACTAGCCCACCTTGTCCTTCAGCATGTTCTTGGGTATGAGAACATCATCCGAGTACTGAGTCCGTGAGATGCTGCCTCCGAACGAATCCCCGGCCTGGACTTTGAAGAAGAAAAGAGATCCATCCTCTCCAGCCGTGAAGAGATGCTGCCCGTCATTAGACAAAGCAATCTAAGACAACAGCAAGAAAAGCACAAGGGCCAATGTACGATAAACTTATCAGCTACAGACGCATATCCAGAGAGTCACGGGTGGGCTTGGGCAAGAGTACATGAAAGCAAGAGAGCAGGAGCAGATCCAAGGGGGTGCGGCAGGTACTCTAGTATCTCTCAGGTTTTGCCAGGATGGTATATGATGGTGTACTATCATCAGTATGTCTTTTAAAGGAAATTTGTAATTGTATCAAGTTCCAGCATTTTTTGGGCTACAGCCCTGCCCTTGAGAGTGTGCAGCCCAGGTAGGTTAATGCCACCCTAAAATTCCATTATTACAATCATGTCATGTGCCTGAATGAGGTCATAATGTGCCTTAATAAAGTCATCATGTGTTTTCAATGAGGTCATAATGTGCTTCAATGAGGTCATAATGTGCTTCAATGAGGTCATCCTGCACTTCAATGAGGTCATCACATGCTTTAACTGAAATGGGGATATCCTGTCCTTAAATGAGTTCATCCTATGCTTCCATGAGGTCATAATGTACTTCAATGAGGTCATCCTATGTTTGGATCATGCATTGGTGTATGCCAGCTGCCTGAATAGCGTGTCAGTCTGAGCCCCTTCAATCCATATCAAGCAGAATCCAGAGATTCTAGAATGCACACACACACACACACACACACACACACACACACACACACACACACACACACACATACATGCACGCATGCACGCACACACACCACGCACACACCACACACACACACACACACACACACACACACACACACACACATACACACACACACACACACACAGGTACACACGCAGTACCACGGCACCATGTCCCCGGTCTCACCTTGCTAACGGCGCCGCTGTGTGCGATCAGCTCATTGTGCTCGATGGCCGACGCCAAGGGACATTTGAGCGACAGCACAGTCCCGTTAGCAGCCCCTGCAAACATCATGCGACCCTGATGGCCAGCAGTAATCTGAGTGATCGGGGCGATCGTCTTGAAGGAGCGTTGTACCTCCGAAGTCTGCAGTGCATAGTCAGATGCCATGATGAAAATGTATACCCACTGATGAAATCCTAATGCAAGTTACATGTTACATACAGCCAAGGTGAATAGAATCTCCATGCCGTCACATAGTATGCCGGGCATTGCCATCATACGTAAGCCAGGCATAACCGGCAAACAATCACAAATACCACAGGTTTGGACTTTAAGTGATGACATCAGGAAAAATAACGTTATTCGCGTCACAGTAAAATTGTATCCAATCTAGCAAAGTGCAGCATCTGGTGGGAATCCCCCTCAGGCTAGCTCTCAGGTCGCATGCCAGTGTGTGAACTTGTTCTCCACCAGCAATGGATCCCTGGCTACAAGGGCCAAGGCAAGCTGGTTCTGGCGGAGGTGTCGCTACAAAATGAAGGCAACTGCACCAAACGTGTACAGGCTACATATCCATGCAGTAACTAGATCCTAGACTGCTACTCGGTCCAAACGTCAGCGTTGTCATGTCATCGGCTTGGCAGTGACATGATACCTTCAGCTTCGAGCCGCATAGTTGATATGGACTGTAACTTAATATTATACTCACATACAGACACATGGCACATACATGCACACATACACACCTTCGCGCTGATCTCCTTGATGCTGCTGTCTGCAGCCACGACCAGGATGTTTTTGAGATCCGACGTGTACAGCAGACTCGAGTAGTGGTGTCCCTTGGTGACGCATTCTCCATTACGCTTGCCTTCATCAATCAGCCATTCGTACACACCGCCATCCAGTCCGCAGGATATCAGTGTCCTGTCATCTGGACTCCACTGCAAGCCTCGGATCTGCCAAAGCATGCACAGGTTGGTTGGTTATAACAATCACCCACATCATATTATCATTTTCTAGAACACCCAGATTGTTCCCGAATCCAAATTGGGACTGGTCCGGGAGCGGTTGTCATGAGCAACAGGAGACCAAACATGGATACACACATAACACAGTATATGGACACTATTGATAGATCTATTCACTCATGCATGCATGACGAGCTAAGTCCTACACCAGAGTACAGTACTGGCATAGAGTGGTTTCACATATTTGTCATGTGACCAAGTTTGTGCAGAAAGTAATCATGTCATGTGGGCAGTGGAATCAAGATGGCTGACATCATGTGACCCATAGATGCAGGGGTTGATGGGAGTTGCAAGATGCAGGGGTTGATGGGAGTTGCAGCCAACATGGTTGCCCATAGGGTAATGTGATCTGTCATGTGAAAGATGTTAACAGGCTAAAGAGGTTATGCGATGACATCATCAGTTGAGATGCTTTGGCAAAGTCGCGGCACAGCGACTCGGCACTAGCGACTGACGCTGCATACATAGCGCCCACTAGCGAATCCGCTGACTCACGTTGTATACTTAGTGCCCATCAGCGATTCCGCTGACTCGTCCCATTAAATCATTCACATAACCTTTATAGCTATGAAAGCAGCAACACCTTCAGCCGAGCGCAACAGCTGTCACAGCGAATTTGCTTCTCCACAATGCAGCACCTTTATTTTAAATACTCCGTATAGTCAAGGTCGTCTCACTCACCTTGTTGCTGTGTCCCTTGAAGTTGGCCACGACATCATACGTATACGTGTTGAACACTTGTATGAGATTGCCATTGATGGCAGCGAAGAACTGGCCACCGTTGCTGAACACACACTGCACAGTGGCGGGCACAGCCGATACAGAAAAACACACAAGTCTGCCCAGGTGAACACTAGGTTTTCATTAAGTCCGACAGCTTCTTGTTCAGGAGATTGACCAGTCCAAGAAGAAAACAAGTGCCAAGCCCATTTGTACTGGCTATCATTACATAGGCAACCCACTAGCAGCACATCAACCATGCACATACACATGCTTGCATCTGTGAACTGAAATCTGTTTGCATAACTGGCAGCTGCACAACTTTTAGTTATTTCGATCACGTGCGCTCAGCTTCCTGCGAGCACATAATTGCATCTGGCGAGAGGGTTTGGTAGCGTTCCCAGTGTAACAGTGCTAACATAGACATGTGCACAGCTACATGTAGTACAATAACACCTGTGTTTGCCGCACCCTGTACAGTACCAAGCGGAATCCTGTATTCATCGGACGAATTTTCATGCACCAAAGTGCTGTGGGTCGAACGTGCATCCCTGGATCAAGCGGAATCCTGTCATATAAGGACAGTTTCCGCTGCACCAAAGCGCATCCGGTTAGTGCAGGTTTAACTGTACATAACCTGTCACTTGGTACAAGCACAGTGTACAAGTAACCATGGCAACATACACTGTCACCAGACCTGACCCGCAGTCGCCATGGCATTCCTACCTCTCGGCACGCTCGAATCGTGAACGCCTTGCACTCCCTCATGCCATCGATCTGCAGGCCCATGAGCCGCAGCTTGTCCGCATATCCGACCAGCATGTACAGCCCGCTGGGATGCAGGGCCACGCTGTACGCCTCTTCTTTGCTTTGAATCGCCAGTTCCTGCTGGCTAGAAAACACAACCGAAATGCAAAGAGGGGAGGGGTGCAGACACATGATTATACGGGTGCAAAAAAAAACACATACGGATGCAGACGCAAATACGCAGGGAAGGACACAATGGAGTGTGAATTCCAAGCTCATGAATTGAACAGAGACGGCGCTATGTGATGTTGAGATGGAGGTAAGTGGCCCAGATATGGAGTGGCTAACTCAGCTAAATGTCCCAAAGATGGCCCGGGAGCTAAGAGGCCCAGAGATGGGGCTAAGCACCCCAACAATGGAGCTAAGTGGCCTTCAGATGGGGCTTTATACGCGGCATAGCCTTGTGAACACTGGAACGTCCAGTGACCGTTGCTCTGCTTCACTTAAGGACTGGTTTCACTTGCCTGCAGACTGAGTGACGGGTGGATAAAGAAAGGTGGGAGGGGGATGGGGAGGCATATAGCAGAACCTTCTAAGCACTCCTGGTTTTATTATCATAGAGATCCATGTCAGGAGCCTTGACACAACTGGGATACAAGTCAGTCCCTCTCACTGGCACAAGTCAAGCAGGATATTACCACAGATGCCTGTGAACAGGGACTAAGTTACTAGTAATGTGTTGTGGTGATCACCATCAGAACACTGTGCAATGGAGGCAATACACCATGCAAGGCAATACACCATGCAAGGCAATACACCATGCAAGGCACTACGGTCAACTTCGCTAATAACGACTGCGGATATAACGACAATTCGCGAATAACGACAGAATGTTCATGCCCAGAGCAAAGTCCCATCCAACCGTAATTACATATAATGAGACTTCGGGTATAACGACACTTCGCGAATAAGGACACTTTTCTGATGCCCCGCCGAGTATTGTTATAAGCGAAGTGGACTGTACACCATGCAAGGCAAGGCAACACACCATGCAAATAAACACACCATGCAACAGCGGCAATACATGCAGTACCGTACGCCTTACCAACTCTCAAAGTCCCAGAGGATCACGGACTTGTCGGTGGAGCAAGTGGCGATGAGCGACTTCCACACGCAAATGCTCATGCCAGTTATCGCTTTGCTGTGGAACGTCGGTGTCAGGCGCGTCAGGTTGTTCCCCATTCCCTAATGCAGGTCACAGAGGGGAAGAAGAAAAAGACAGAACATGTGTAGAACAGATGTAAGAAATTTTCCCATTATACACAAGACATTGTCAGATTCATCCGGAATCATCACGAAACTTTTCAGATTTTCCCTCTTTCCAAATCTTTCTTCCAGCTTTCATGTGTGGCTGCAATACTTGGGGAGACTAAGTGGCTAAACAACATGAAGTGACCAAAGTACCTTCAAAGTGCCCGAGAACCCAGACGGGACCGTGTAAATCTGGTTGCCACGGGTGACTGCTGCAATTACATCATCACTTGGCGCCCGAACAATTTGGATGATGTCATGAGCAGAGTCGAGACGCGTGTCCTTGGGAAGCGGCAGAGCCAGCTCACCAGCCTGGACCATGAAAGAAAGAAAGAAACACACACACACACACACACACACAAACATACACATGCACACACACACCCACACCCACGCACTAATGCACACACGCACACGCACAGACACACACACATGGATGAAATAGGAAACAGCTGGGCTCGACAGATCCTGATAGAACTAGAAACACATAGCGAGCCACATGATGGGAAAATGGTTACCATGCCGACCCCCGAAGCATGGTCAAGTGATGCAGTCAGTGTCCAGTGGCTTACGCAAGAAGGTGTCCGTGTGTCCATCGAGCTCAAAGTCCCCGGTACCCGGCCCCCAACACCACCTTCCCCCAACGGCTCAAATAGCCTGCGTGTTTGCAACACTGCAGGCATACAATCCGTGTAAGACCATGTGACTTACTCTCTCATATCGTCCGTCCTCACTTCTCTCCAAGTACTGCATGCTGTGATTGAAAGAGACATACACATGACGACTGCCGGACACCAGGGCGTGGATTCGTCTGGCGTTCAAGGCATCGTCGCCCTCAAGAGGCTCGTGAACTCGCTGGCTGCAAAAGTAACACAATTACGATGTGCACAGCGTTCAAAGTCAGTGAAATAGTATGTGTACATGTGTAAAAAATATTTCTATAATTGGCCAGTAGTCTTGGGCCGTGATCGTTTGGTCGGATCCAGATCCTGATCCGTCGGGTCCACTGGATCTGCAGTGATCGATTGGCCGAATCCGGATCCATATCCTTCGGATTTGGATCCGAGCAACCCTGCCCCGGGAGCAGGGTTGACTGGATCCATCGGATCCAAATGTGACCTTTGTGCGTATATGGCGGGTAAAAATCATTTTTGTACTCATTGCCGTACAACTAGTCGACTTTTCGTACGAACAGCCAAGGTCCGAGAAAAAGTGATCGGTTGATTCTGAAGGATCCGACGGATCTGAGATTTGGATCTGGATCCGGATCTGACCAAAAGATCATAGCCTTACTGAGTCTTGCATGTGTTGGAAATGTAACAAATACAAATACAATAATTATTTATTTGAGTGGTTTCTCATCTTTGTCATTTTACTAGCTTTTCGTAGAAAGTGATCATGGAATGTGGACAGTGGAGCCAACATGGCCGACATCATGTGACCTGTAAATGCAAGTTTGAACCAACAGGGCTGTCCCGAGCGGTCATGTGATAGATACCCAACCACTCAATACAGTGGAGTATCCATTATCCGAGAGCCCCATGGGTACTAACCTGCTCAGATACTGGATGCTTCAGTCCACTGGTTTTTTTGTGCATTGCAACAATACATGAATAGTACTTGGCACATGATACGTATGTGATCACTGATCACGTATGCTTGTGCTCACACACATGGACGGTATGCAAACAAACAGGCACAGGGAGAAAAACCTCACAGCGAGCGTAGCCACAACTGTAGCCCATAGTACAAGGATGTGATGTTTGGTCAAATCCGGATCCAGATCCTCGATTTTTCGGATTGTGTGCTGTCTTCAAACAGTGTACAGGATAGCTTGATGTGGTGTAGGTTCTCGCCAGAGAAATTCTACCTCATGAATACAATAGCAACGGACGCTACGTGACCCTAGCACCACACACACACACACACACACACACACACACACACACACACACACACACACACACACACACACACACACACACACACACTATTCATTGCACTCGAACGAGACACAACTTTAGTCATTAGGTCGAGTTTCTCTGGCCCAGAACGGTAGATTGCGCCTGTGGATGCGTTGGTTGCCAAGCTAAGAAAATTCAATCTCTCGTGAAAGTTTCCGGAGTAGTACAATTTTGTTCAGCTTACCCATCTCCATCAAGTTCTTCCGTCTCCGGTAACGGCATCTCGAATATGAGCTTCTGTTTGAGCTCTCCTTTGAGGAATATGAGTAGTTCGCCCGCATCGTTTCCGACCAGCAGCTTGTCTTCGGCGACCCAGTGCTGGCATCGCATGACCGTCGGCTCAGTCTTGAAGCCGCTGATCACCTTCAGTGCATTCTCGCTATAGCGGTACACCTTGAGGATGCCGTCACCGACCACCGATAGCAGAGTGTTGTCCACCAGGTTGAACAGCACCTATGCGATGGATGTCCGGCACCGGCAGTATGCAGCATGGTCAGGCAAGTGCAAACAAAAAACAGCACAGTCTTTAATAGGTAAGTACAAACACAATGCGCATTGCCATGCATACATGTACATGTACATGTACATGAACTTGCAGGTGTGAAACGTGCACGACATATACAGTTCTGGCCAGCCGGGGAAACCTGACCTCATGAATGAAGCAGGGCTGCGCTGAAGTACGCCAAGTGGAGCATGTGCAGTGCTAGGACCGGGTAGCCACCGGCGCTATTACATGTATAATTCCCGAGGCTGGATTTCTCTGGCCAGGATTGTACGTACACATACTTACAAGTGTGAAAAATGGACGTATACACACAAATGCGAAAGTACACTATCACAGTACAAGATATGGGAACAGGGCACTAGTAACCTGTCAGTGTGTGTTGTCCATTTCGTAAGGTAACAGGTTATTCGAAGAAAAAACAACCCGGCACTTCTATTCCGACTTCCAGCACATGCACAAGACTTGAAAATGTGCAGATAATGCTGATCAGGTCATCCCTTATATCCTGCTTTCCGCTTCGAGTGTTCGGCTTCACTAGCACGATTAACCGTATAACATTGCTATGTGCTCCAATGGTGCAGTTCCCCAGTAGGAGTATTGCATTTCAAACACATAAGGGCCGGTACGCGGCTCGGTTGCCCATGGCTTTGCCAAGGGTAGCATGCTGATAACTGTCAGGATACTTTCAATATCCACACTTATTACAAGCTACTGTGCTATTTTCGGCCTGGACATTTTGGCCGAAAATTGTTTTTCAAGATTCAGTGTGACAGTGTATACAGGCAGCAGCAGTCCAAGCCGAAAATTTGATGCTGCCAAAATGGGTTTTAGCCCTGGCAGGCCGAAATTTGAATGGGCCGAAACTTTGTCGACTTTAAAGGGGAAGTTAAGGCAAAAATTAAAATTTCACCAGTTGTAGTCTTCGGGGTGCTGAGTCGAATGGTCGTGGTCCGAGAAAGCTGAGACGCTCCCTTCCTACTTGAATCCCAATCGAACTCGCGCACTTCCACCGAAACTGGGTGACTGCGCCCTACTACAGCACGGATGACCGCGATTGGCCCATATGTTGTAGTCTTTTGGACGCTGAGTCGACTGGTTTTGGTCCGAAAAGGCTGCGATGCAGCGTTCCTCCTTTATTCCCAATCGAACATGGTTGAACAAGCCTTCACGTGCTCCTGCGTACGCCAGTCACCTGGTCACCGTGCTTGCAGGGTACAACTAACTAGCCTGTTTGACCTTTTTTGGGTGCAGTCCTGTCACTCGAGTTGAACCTTGGTGTGAAAGTTGTCGCCTGCTGGCGTGGTGACCAGGTGATTTGGGCACCCAGGAGCACGTGACCGCTTGTTCAACCATGTTCGATTGGGAATAAAGGAGGAACGCTGCATCGCAGCCTTTTCGGACCAAAACCAGTCGACTCAGCGTCCAAAAGACTACAACATATGGGCCAATCGCGGTCATCCGTGCTTTTATAAGAACGAAATGGCGCTTTTAGTGACATTTTGCATACAAATCCCCATCTAGTAGGGCGCAGTCACCCAGTTTCGGTGGAAGTGCGCGAGTTCGATTGGGATTCAAGTAGGAAGGGAGCGTCTCAGCTTTCTCGGACCAAGACCATTCGACTCAGCACCCCGAAGACTACAACTGGTGAAATTTTAATTTTTGCCTTAACTTCCCCTTTAATACAGTACCTGTAATGGGATATACAGTCTGTATCGGCTATAGCGTACCCTTTTGATTTCCGTGATTTTATCACTATAACCGATGCATCACTATAATGCGATACGATCGATTTTTTCTTTTTTCGATCGACACATGAAAGGCAAGGAAATACTTCCAGCATGCCGTTTTGACAAATGAGCATGCTGCATAGTTGACAGTGCCCGCATTTCCATAAAAAATTCTGTTACGTACATGTACATGTATCACTATAAAAATAAGCAACGTGAAGAAAGTAAAAAAATAGGGCCTTTGATATTATTGCTACATGTATCATTTTAAAGTTATCACTATAGCCGATAATAATATAGTGTGTTATGCATGTTTTGATTCTTTGTTGCCATCATAATATCCGATATATCATTACATCCGATAATATTGGTTATAGTGATATTTGTACCGGATAAAATACGTTTTGCTTTGGATATTTCGTACCAATATCACTGTAGCCGATGCAGACTGTATAGAGTATTGGAATGACCGGCAGAAAAGAGGCTAGCTGGTCCTTTCATGCTCTACCAGTCACTGGCCACAGCAGCACAATAACAGGACAGTGGTACCACTGTTGTGGACATTGGAATCTGTTGAGAAATGAAGCGGTCACGGGGTGGTGGCCTTGCAGCCATGAGCACTGCCGGTCCATGTTCACAGTGTGACGGGGAACTACATACACTGTGTACTGTGTGTACGGCCTAAGGCAGTAAGGGTACCCCCCCCCCCCCCCCCCATCACTCCACTGGATTTCAATATCCAGACTCAGAGCAGTACTTCCCATTACCCATTGTCCCATTGTCCCATTGTCACTACTGCCACGCTGTATTCATGATCAGTACCTGTCTGACCCTCACCTGGTACACAGCTGCTGTGGTGATATTGGAGGACTTGACTGTGGCAATGCTCTTGGGCTTCTCCCAGTTCCACAGCGTCAGAGACCAATCTGGTTTGGAACTCTGCGTCGCTAGATACTTACTATCCGCTGAGAAGCTCATGCTGATCACAGTCGGACTCTGGCTCTCTTTGATCTGCATCACCTTGCGCCGGCGCAGCGTGTGCAAGTCCCAGATTGTCACTAGGGCGTGTGCCTCGCTGCTCGCACCCTGCTCCGCCACCGCCAGGAAGCGGCGACTCGGAGAGATAGACACGGCGCTGAGACCGTCCACATCGCCGCCGGCAGTGGCGTAGCTGATGAGCTGCTGCTGGAGCGTCTCCGTGTTGTAAATGACCAGGTTCTTGCCGCACGAGTAGACGAGGCTTCGATCGCTGCTGAACACGACGCTACCGGGTATGTCGGGACGTACTCCGAACGCATAGCGGGGTGTTATTTCTGCTTGAGCCATGGTCTTTGCCACCACTCGCTAACAGTTTGGCATATAGAACAGGAGCTATGATGGACTATCCGGGGCTCGACTCCAATCAGCAATTGGGCAGTTTATTTACAGGAAAAACACGCGATTCATGGATGAGCACGAACCCCTCTGAAACCTTCGTTCACAGTGAAGTTCATCTAGAGTAACGAACACCTCAGAAAGTGTAAGGTGGTAGACAAAAGTTCGGTCCACCTTGACCCTCGCTAACTAGGGGAGCTCAACAACACAGCGATACAACAACAACCTCCCCGGGAAATGACTGGTTAGTCTCCCGAACTCAGAACGCTACATCTGAGACTCGACTGAGTTAGTGAGTAAGGCCAGAAGTCCAGCTCGAAGTCGAAAAAAATCGAAGTGGTCACCTGTCTGCAGTCCGTGGCAACAACCATAACAACAGCATCGCATTTACCCAAAACGTAGTCGTAGCAACGCGTTGATGGATTCCGTCATGACAACCGGAGAAGGAAGGCCGAAGTCGCGAAGAGGTCCATGTATGATCATGATGATGACGTACCAACATGGCTACAACTAGTACTGTACTGACTGGGCGCGTTCGATTACTTGGTGAATGAACTGTTCGATTACACAAATTACGTCCTCAATTCCAATTCCGTCAATTCTGAAGAGAGGGCGGAATTGCTAATTCCAGACGCCGCGTGATCCCACGATGATGAAAAACGTGATCCCCTTTTACGATTTTTACGTGTAGTCCAGTTCGTCCCGCAAAAGGCCCGCAATCCGTGCATTCTGTCCATTCGAGAATTACGGTATAAAACCTGGGCCCAAATGTGTGAAAGCGCCCATACCACTGTTGTCATGGTTGTGGCCATTGAAATCCGATGGAATGACCGGGGGGGGGAGAGAGTATGGTTAGACGAGAAAGCAGAAGTGCTATGCCTGTACTGCTGTATCTGGCCTCTTGAATGGTGCAATCCCAGCACACAAGTACCGGGTAACTAACTTAGTTGCTATGACTTGCAGCATCGCTCCGGCGATGGGCGAAGGTCAAGGTCAAAGGTGAAGTAAAACAGAAACAAACAAACCAACACAGTCACTGTAAAAGTGGACCGCAGCAATGCAGACTTGCAATGCAGACTTGCAATGCAGACTTGCAGTGCATGCTCGCGGATGGCTGCAAGGCCAGCGCTCGGCGCGGCCATGACTACTTGACTTGTCACTTCTCAATGGACTTCGACCTCCGCTACAGAAGTCATTGACTCGTTAGCTCGCCCAAGATACAAGACAACCTGCAACACTATTACTAGTACATGTATTAGACAAACAATCATTATCTACAAGTAGATCTACATGACATGTATATCTTGACTTGATTACAATCATTACATAGAGACGAGTGGCAGAGTCGTGACTCATGGTAAGTCCCTATCATAAAGGCCTCTTTTACGGGCAAACAGAATACAATTGACAGTGGCATGGCGAATGATTAGAACACAACACCAAAAAATGAAAACAATTGTATGTGTGAAAAAAAACGCAAAAAAACGAGAAAAAAAACAAAAAAAACAAAAAAACACCAAAAAACAGGAAAATACAAGGGCACTGTCCTGCCCACCATCGTCTCCAAAACCTCACAGCCGACCCTTCGAGATTGTAAGTCGCTCCTATCCACGACTGGCCTTCGGGAACGGACACGATAATTATTTTAATACCTAAATAGCGCGAACCCTTGCCGCTCGCCTTGTGCAACGCTCACTGCTCTTGGAGCATTTCGAGCACTCTTGGCGGGGTTTGCAGCTCTTTATAAAAATGCTTTGCTTGACGGAAACGTATTTCATTTGCGAAGAGCTGCGCTTCGGTCCTCTGAGCTGTGCCGAGGAGCTCTAACAGAGCGAAACAGTTGCTGTCCACAGATTTGAGTAATTTACTTACATGTACATGTGACCTACTTATCCGCGACTAACAGTTACATTGTATACGGTCATGATCGATATGCCATAGTCTGACATGGCCATGGCCCAGGCGACTCTTCAGTGCACCAGAGACTGAGAGTGGGGAAGAGAAGACAAAGGGGATCGAGGATACATGTACATGGAGGGGAAAAATGGAAAGATGATTGTTACATGTTACAGGGTAAAGTGGGGTAGCCAGGGTGCAAGCGGAGAGGGTGTTCAGGGAGGGTCAGAGGGCATCTGTGACTGTGACTGTGGCTGAGGGCCAGTCTCGACTGCTGAGAGACTTGTAACTGCCTTCCTTGAATGCCTGCATTCTCTTCTGTTAGGGAAGGTGGCGCAGCAGGGTAGAGTCTGAGAGGGGAGACGACTCCATTCTCTGCTCTTGGATCCTGCCTGAGGGGGGGGGGGGGGAATGATCTGGTAGCACTATTAGTATTACGAGCTCCAGCGGGCAGTATCTGTGCTAGTTGGTGCTTGTGCTGATCCTCTTGCTGATGCCGAGTGATGGCGATCGGAGCGCCAGTGTTGATTAGCAACTGCCCGCGGGGGTATCATGATGATCAAGATTGGGGGATCATCAATCCAGTGCAACTACTAGCAACTTGTCATGTGCAAGTAGAGGTATGTCAATGTGAGTTTAGGGCTCGGTGCTGTACTAGGTCCAGCCGGTTGAGGGTAGACTGGGACGCACCCAACCATGATAGTGGGCAGCACTCCAGTACAAGCGCAAGCGAAACTTCCGAAGCTGGTTTTCTTTGTCAAGAATTGCTCGGCCGGTGGTAGCGCGAACGTGCGGACCTTACTTTCCTACAAAAACCAGTAACTTATAGTCTGAAAAAGCCTCTTGTACGGGAAAGTGACACAATGAATGTAATGCTCGAAAATGCAATGAAAACAAAGAACACACAATGCAACCTGAATTGGTCATAGCGAACCTCGATATATACATGTAGAACACAAGAACTGCGCAATCAACGCAAGTTGGCAATTTGGATGATAAGAACTACACAAGAGAGAGATTGAAAGCTTTGTTACAACTCTGAGATAATAAGAACTAACAATTCTGGAGTCACACAGTAAAACACCCCTGCAACGAAACAAACAAACGAAAGATGCAAAAAATAACAGCCCAACATCAATCGTGAACTCGCTTGTCGTGTCCGAGGTTTTCATCTGGGAGGACAGTTTACTCCAAAGGGCATAGCCAGAGAACATAGGGGATTTGAGGTAAAGAGATGATGAAGCACGGTGAAGGGCTAAGGGGTAAGGGATAACGTGTTTGGCTAGAGGACGGAAAGTCGAAAACCAATTGTATAACGTGAGATGCTGCGGAACTTTGCAAAGACGTATTCTGTGGATGAGGATACAAAAAAAGATGATGCTGGGGTCGAACTGAAAGGGGGCATGCATGGGCAAGCCTGTACAAACATTGGGAGGGATACATGCGGTCTTCGCCAAACAGAATCTGGATCTTCAGAAGCAGTTGGTGTTGAACTTCCAAGGAGTCGGTAAGAGCTACTGATAAGCCAGACCACGAGGTGTCACAGTAGTCAATTATTGGTAGGATGCATGCCTTGTAAAATAGGATTTTGCAGCCATCATTCAAGTGGCCACAGTGATGTTGCAGCATGCCTAGAGCAGTGCTAGTGCGCTTTCGGATATAGTCAACTTGTGGCGACCAGGCCAGCTGACTGCCAAGAATTACACCAAGATGACTGTTTTATTTATGCTGTGTAACGATTTCAACTTAATAGGACAATTGACACCAGGGAGATGCACGGGTTGGCGGGCTGGGGAGGGGGAGACAAACATAGCCTCCGTTATGGCTAGGTTCTGCTTGAGTTTCCAAGTTTCCATCCAGGTCACTGTGGAATTTACCCCAGTCTGCATCGTAATAACAAGCGGATCGGGAGAGCTATCAGAGTAGACAAGGGCCGTTCATCAGCAAAGAGGCTGACACCAGTAACTATAGAGGGCAAATCAATAGGAAGAGCAATGGGCCAAGTATCGAACCCTGTGGTACACCAGAGGTTACGGGCATAGGTTCAGATAACCGTTAGGATCCATGAAAAACGAACAGATTGACGACGACAGGACAGATAGGACGATAACCATTGTAGAGCTGAGCCATGGACAACATACATGTGCACATGTTTTCCAACTCACTTCGCTAGACTGCCGCGGTGCCATAATATTATGATACCCCACCCGCATAAAGTGCATGCAGTATCGGTCATAGTAATCGCTTATGCATGTAATGATAAAAATAATGCTCAAAGTCAAAATCAAAGACCAAAGCTACAGGCAATACTGACTGTGCTACGGCAATATTGGTAAACCTTGAAGGTGCTCGTAGCTGGCAGTGGCATGGCATGGTTTTCATTTTCTGTGCGGCTGGCAGGTCGATCGCGTCGTCGCTGAGGACAGTGAGGGCGGGCGTGCTCGTTTTCCAGCCCTGCACACCAGAACGCAAGAGTGATAGTCTGCCGCCAGCATGCAGGTCACAGTCTGCTGGTGGCACAACAACACACGCCACAGGCAGAGCCATACTCCCCATAGCCATGCCACAATACACGCATACAGCTAGCAATGACCATGATGACTGCACAAACGCACTAGTACTAATAATATTAGTATAATAATTATTATTATGACTGTTATCGGTTGACAGCATGTAACAAGATGGAGGACACCGTGTTCGGAAACAGTGACCTTTCTACAACCATCCACACGGTTGGTAGGTTTGAGCCCCGGTCGGTTGTGACCATCTGAACCGTATGGACACTGTATATGTGCACATTCACATGTCTGAAGGTTTTTGATTTTCAATATTTAAAAAAAACCGCATGGGTGTTAGCCGTGGATGGTTGTAGAAAGGTCACTGTTTCCGAACACGGTGTCCTCCACCTTGTTACATGCTGTCAACTAACAACATGTTTGAACAAACAACAAGGTTTATCTAATACTAAAATAGTAATAGCACATGTACAGGTACATGTTGTTGGTTGACAGCATGTGACAAGGTGGAGGACCATCGTGTTCGGAAATAGTGACCTTACTACAACCATCCGCGGTTGGTAGAGCCCGGGTCTTGCGACCATCTGAACTGTAGGGGTGTTAGCCCCGGTTCTGACCCTCCGTATTCTAGGGAGTTGCCTTAGTCTTCTTCTTGTTGTACCGTCATTCGTGTATTCTTTGTTCGCTCCTGGATGGCTTCTTGAATCAACATGGTGAAGATAGGCATCCATGGCCGCGTCGGAACATCACCAACCTCGTCTACAGAGAGCACCTTCTCACGACAGTGTGATGATGGTGACAGTAACTGTTGTCAGCTGACGAGCTGAGAGAGGTATGCCATTGGCAGAAGTTGGA